ATAGATTAATTTAAATATGTATTTTTTTTGTATTTTTCTGGTTATATTTGCTCTAATTTGAGAAATATTTTATAGATTACATGTTCAATTTTTTGTTTAAAGGTTTATCTTTTTTCTGATAAAATAACACTAGCCAACAATTTCTAACCTCTTTTCTGCCACATAAATGGAAACAGACATTTTATGTCAAGTTTTATGCGCTGATTACAATTTTGGACTTTAAAATGCTCCATTATGTCCCAATTTTGAAAAATTCAAAGTCAAAGTTGTAAAAAAGGCTATTTTGATGTATTTTATGATGTTATAATGGTATGATATAATATGCGTGTTAGAAAAGTTTCTTTTTTTTTAAATAAAGTATATCAGTAGGACTTTTTTAACTCTCAAAAGAAGTTTCTTATGTATATTACGATTAACAAGATTTTTTTGACGATTCAATATTGTCTGTTACCGCAGATAGATTATAAATAGATCTAAGAACTGCAAATAAGTCACTGAATATTTTCAATTTTTGTGGAACACATAATGATTTTTAAGATTGCTAATCACAAATGTGGTGTCAAAATTGACAAATTTAACATGATAGATGGCTTATCAAAATGATAAACGGTTGTAATTTTTGTGAAAATTCGTATTTAAATATAATTGTATTTAAATAAAATTGTCGAGGCTGCTGAATATGAATCTGAGTAAAAAATCATTATGTATGTTCCATAAAATTGAAAATATACAGTGACTAATTCGCAGCTCTTACAAGAGAACGTTCACAAGTGTCCCCCCCCCCCCGATTTCGATTCTCTTTGAATATGTTGTAAACATATAATTTGAAGAGACACGATTTTTTTATAGCGGCCCTAACTCAAATTTATGGGGTGAAACATCCTTTTGAAAAAAAAACGAGTTTTTTCTTTGTGTGTAAATATTGCCAAAACCGTAGGAGATATCAAAAAATAGTTTCAAATATAAGTTATATAGCTTGTAATGGACTTTATAACTGTGTAATTGGATTTTCAAAAACAATTTTTTTAAATTTACCCTCACCTCTTGTTATTATTGTTTTGATCGTCAAAATTTTTGTAATGACAAAAGTTGTAGCTATTTTTACACTAAATTCAACCATATATAATTTTATTATGTTCCAAAATCGCATCTTTCAAAAATGAGTTATCAGTATTACACTATATGCGTCGCGCTGCATAACACATCGTTTGTATCACACTTGTGTTACGCAATAGTTGTTAAATAAATATAAAAATGACTTGTTATCACATATTTGAAGAAGAAAAGTTAACTAAAATTATTGCTAAAGCATCCCTTCCACATTACACTCTTATAGATAATCGCTGCATTTCGTGCGCAACGCGTTGTCATATACAAGTTAGCTATCAGCGCATATTACACTTTGAAGTTTCGCTTGTAATGACTACGGAAAAATAATTTATGAAACAAAAATAGTGAATGAATCAATCTATTCAACATATATCCACCCTGACTTTACCCTCTTGGTCCAATTTGACTGACAATGAATTAAAATATAAAATTCTGTACAGTTTACTCTTTTTCAATAATTTTAATACACTGCAATACATTCTACATACTATTACATTTCACTAAATTACTACGATACTTTTAAACTATAAGGTACCTATATAAAATGTATATCATAAGTATAATTATAATATATATAAATAAGCTTATATATATAATTATATATATTTATATATATATAAAAGCTTATTTATTGTATATATTATAATTATACTTATATTATACTTATATTATACTTATGATATACATTTTATATTTCAAAATTTTATATACCTTATAGTTTAAGGTATAAACGATGCGTCATGCAGCGCGACGCATATAGTGTGATACTGATAACTCATTTTTGAAAGATGCGATTTCGGAACTTAATAAAATTATATATGGTTGAATTCAGTGTAAAAAATGCTACAACTTTTGTCGTTACAAAAATTTTGACGATCAAAACAATAATAACAAGGGGTGAGGGTAAATTTAAAAAAATTAATTTTTTGAAAATTCAACTACACAGTTATAAAGTCCATTACAAGCCATTATAACTTCTATTTGAAACATTTTTTGATATCTCCTACGGTTTTGGCGATATTTACACACAAAAAAACTCGTTTTCTTTAAAGGGGTGTTTTACTCCTTAAATTTGAGTTAGAACCGCTATAAAAAAATACGTGTCTCCTCAAATTATATGTTTTACAACATATTTCAAGAAGAATCAAATCGGGGGGGGGAGGAAACACTTGTGAACGTTCCCTTGTTAGATCCATTTATAATCTATCTGCGGTAACAAACAGAATATTAAATCGTCAAAATCTCTTTACCATAATATATACAAAAAATTCCATTTGAGAGTTAAAAGTCCTAATAATATATTTTATTAAAAAAAAGAAACTTTTCTAACACGTCGCATATCATAGTTATAACATCATAAAGTACATTAATAGCCCTTTTTACAACTTTGACCTTGAACTTCTCAAAATTGTAACGTAAAGCATTTAAAACATTTTAAAGTTCGGATTCGTAATCAGCGCATAAAAAAATTTGTATAAAATGCCTGTTTCCATCCATATGACAAAAACCTTGTTGATTAGTGTAATCATCGGTAATACATAATTCAAAATCAAATTTGATTCATAAATAAAAAATTTAAAAAATAATCCCATCTTGATTATACCAATCAGCTTACTTTTTATCTTTATAAAGCAAAATAAAAACATCTCTTTTTTCTTTTTTAACAATTTCTTGTTTTTTCAACAATTTCTTATTTTTTCACGGGATAGTCCATTTTACTTTACTTATAGAGTAAAACAGACTAAAATAAGGTTTTATAAAAATCTTAATAACAACTAAACTACTTTTGCAAGTTTGGTTGTTATTAAGATTTTTATAAATTTGAAAATTTAACATTATAATCTCATAATAAACATTCTAAAGTTTCCTTATGTTAAATTTCAACTATTTTTTGTCATTAATATAAAAAAATATGGCCATTCTCGCTTAGATAATCTCACCTTTTCTTACATTTAATAAAACGTACTGTGAGCAAATTTATTTATTTTAATAATTTAATTTATTAAATTTTTATTAAATTATTAATAAATTAAATTATTAAATTTAATAAAATAATATTTAAAATAAATAAAAAAATTTTTTTGCTAAAAGTACGTTTTATAATAATAAAATTTATTTATTTAGAATAAATTTGCTGAGAGAGAAAAAAAAAAATTTATTTAAAGTATAGCAAATTGAATGTGTGGGCAAGGGAGGGGTTCCGTAGTGAGGCGAAGAGACAATAATTTCTCATAATTTTCTGATACTATTTAAGAAAGAAATATGCATACTATACAGGGTGTCCGATAATTGCTGAATCACCTCTCGGGTGCAGGTAGAGCGGGTTAAACCGAGTAGAAAAGTCCTCTATCGTTTTGCGATTTTCGCAATAATTAATGATAAATTAATTAAAGAAGATCGACCAATTTGCGCGAGTCTAAACGCGCGGCGAGAAGAGACAGCCCGTTGTTACGTGTTCGCTAGGACGCAAGGATCTAGCGTTACACACCGTCATTTATAGAGTGCTCCTCCCAACGATTTCTCGTGCGCCTAGTAACCAAATAACAGTGAGCTGTATCACCACGGGTCTCTTCTCGCCGCGCTCTTAAACTCGCGCGAATTGGCCGATATTTTTTAATTAATTCCTCATTAATTATTGCGAAAATTACAAAATGATAAAGGACTTTTCTATTCGGTTTAAACCGCTCTACCTACACCCGAGAGGTGATTCAGCAATTATCGGACACCCTGTATATTCAGCGACGTAGTAGCGTCGCGACGAGAACATAAATGTTAAGAGTTTTGCCTATATACAGGCGCCGCCGCGCTACCAAGTAGCTTTTCCGGAATTTTACGTTAATAAAGATTGTAGTCAGATAACATAGGCAAATCTGCCCCCGGCATGTATCAGGGTCAAATTAATGTCATAAGTTGACACCAAGTTTTTTTTATTAAAAATTTATTTTATAATTTAATTTTAAGTTTATCTTTTTTTTTAATTAAAATTCCTTTTATACTTAAATGTATTCCATTATTTTAATCATGTTGTAATAGAAAATTAAAACAATTATTTTTTACAACAGTCTGTTGGTTTGAAAATGACATTGTTTTTGTATTAAAATAACACTATTTTGTATGAGTTGAACTTATTTTGAAAATCAGGTTTCTATTAAAAACAAAATAAGTTTTAATTTTATGGAGAGAATCTATAATGTATAATATTTTTACAAATGTAAGACTAATTTTATAACAAATAATAATAAAAAATATTATTTCAAATTACAAATTCTTGCAAATTGAATTGCTTCTATATACTTGGTTAAGTGACTATTGATTTCATATTTAGTTTTGATATAAATGTTTTTTTAAATAATATTTTTTAGGATTATTTTTTAGAGTATAATTTTACTACATACGTATATATTAAGCATTTTTACTCAATTAGTTAGAAATTATTTATCTTCAAATAATGCTTCACCTCTCGTACATGAGTTAGATCGGGTTAGAGTTTTTTCAGGCAGAGGTACAAGGCTTTGCTTCTCCTCTGCCCAAGTATTTGATATATCACGTTTAAATAAATAAATCTGCTAAGAGTACGTTCTGTTAAATATACACGTATCAGAAAATTACGTATTCTATTTAGTAAACTTCTTTTGTATAACTTTTTAATTTTAAGGTCAACGGCTAAAACCTTTTTTTTTGTTACTCAGGACTATGATCTTAATAACACACGTCAAGATCAAGATTGGAAGGTTATCCCTATTCGGTAATTTTATCTCTTTTATTATTACAGGTTATATTATTATATTATAAATATATTTGCTTTTTCTATTTTTGTTACATTCATATCGTTTTGTACTACCCTCGCAGTTATAATTGTTAATTTGCGACATATCGATAAATAAGATTACCTTTATTTGTGCAAGCCGTATTTCGAAGATCGGGACTTTTATCACCTCCAATGAGATAAGTAAAGATCCGGACGGGCATGTGCGGCCAATTGTAACGTTTTATCACTTCTGTGGGTGGGCTGTCGGTATCGGAAGTGATCAGTATAATCGCCTGATTGCACTGGCTGCCCTGGCCGGTACGATTGTACTTGTGCAGGATCTCGAAGGCAGTACTCAATGCAGCCGAAATATTGGTCGCAGCGTCTTCATGCTTTACAGAAGTCAACGCTATCTTCATTTCGTGGATGTTTTCCGGCGATGCCTGCACTAAGCTATCCTTAAAGCACTGCACAATTTCCTCGGCATTTTCGCCATAGCGATATACGTTGACATAATCATTCGGTCCCAAAGTATCCAATATGACTCTCGTCGTTGCAATTGTTAATCGTCGATTTCTGTCGGAAGTATAGGTCGTACTATCAATTAATATTGCTAGATCCCTCGGACTATTTGCCGCCCCGACAAACCAATTTGACATTCTGAAGTCATACACATCACGCACCGGCCGATGATGTGAAGAGTACTTAGATAATCTGAATACACCTTCAATTGGAGGCCATGATATCGCTGTAACATATATATGTATGTATATATATATATATATATATATATACAGGGGTGTCAATTAAGTCCCGGGACGGCTGAATATTTTCTCATGTAAGGTATTTTTGAAAAAGGTCAAGGTCATTTCTGAAGTAATTTTCAACGAGGAATTCAACGGTGACCTTCAATTTGACCTTGAGCTTGACCTTCAAGGTCATTTCAAGGTTAGGTTAGGTTTTTTAAATAGAAACCCCTATTTTTGATTCCAAAATCTAATAGCTGGTGTCAAGAGCTTTTGAAAACACTATAATGAAGTTATTTTTCATTAAGTACTTTTCGAGTTATGAGGCTTGTAAATTACAGTATTTTGACATAAAATACAAAATATCTTGTAAAATATTCAATTTTTGGGAATCTTACCTTAATACTTTTATGCATAAAATAATAAGACGAATC